ATATATATATATATATATATGTTTGTATGTATGTATTATGTGTCTGCATGAGTTTCTTTGTTTGTCTGTTAGCAAAATACCTTATGAACCACTGGATTAATTATAATGAAACTCTGAGGAAGTACTCAACAAATTTACGTCCGTAACTGATTAACTTTTGCAGTCAGCCATTATTCAAGATGTCTGCTACAGCTAACCGATCTCAGCGTTCACAAAAATGTTTCTAACTTGCCCAGCTGTGCAGTTATTGAAATGTTGGAGAAAAATGTCTTACACACACAAAAAAACCTGACAGCAGGAGAAGATTTTTAACCAGTATTTACATGCAAGGTCAGATTTTCTGAACAGGTTACAAAAATGTACATAAAGTACACACATGACGACCAGTCATGAGACTCTGCCCCGAGTCGCCTTCTCTGCGTGCTTTTATACCCTTCTCAGTGCAGCTGAGTTCACAGAACTTGGAGGTGTCCTTGGCTGCCTGCTGCAGCCTCACTCAGCTCATCATCCATCTCTCTACTAACACAAACATATGATTCATGGGCAGAGTTAACATTCTCAGCCATAGTAATAAAATAAATCCATAACCTTTGACCAAACATTCCCTAACATGAACTAAAGTCTGGTGTGGTAATAGCTGTAAGCCATCCCTAACATATTCTGAGCATTGAAATATTGTACAAGATTTTTGTTTATATATTAGGTATTAACATTTTGAGTTAACATTGTCCATTTATTAGCACAATATCTCATAAACCAGTGCATGGATTGTAATAAAATGTCTAAGAAACATTGACTATATATCTACAAGTGATTACTGTTTGGAGTCAGCTTGATTTAAAATGGCTGCCACACACAAGTAAATGTACAAAGTATAAAAATGGCTATAACGTGGGTAATTCTACAGATATTCCGGTATAATTTGGGGTGGTAGTATATGAGATTCATCCCCAACACACTGAGTTTTAGCAAATCACCCTGAAGGTTAGGGTTAAGATGGCAAGCTTTAAAAAAAAAAAAAAAAAAAAAGCTAGTCTTTTTAAAACTGTTCCTTATTAGTAAGCAGCGAACTTGCTGGAAAATTATCCTGATCAGTATGGGTGGCAACGTCTTTTTATGACACACACCAGATATTTTTTTCTCTTTAAAATGAAGAATTATAATATTTTGTCAGTTTAGTAGTCATAAAGACAAACACTCACCATAATTAAAAACTGCAGATGCACAGTTCAGTCAGATTGTAGGCCACCTCCTGTATTTCCTGTTTACTACCTTTCTCGCCACGTCGGTCGGATGCAGAGACGAATCAGCGGGCCGTGCAGCCAGCTGTGCAGCACAGCACAGGATGCGATCACTTCTGCCCATCCAGAAGCGGGCACCTGTGGCACAGTTGGCACCTCCAAACTGGGTTTGATTGGAAATACATCACCGCAGTCTGTGTTGGTAGCTGGCATCTGTCGCAGCCCATCAAATCAGTGCTCTTCATTCCACTTAGAAAAAAAAGTGCTCTGCAGCTTGACATAATGATGTTTTTCTAATGACGAGGACATTTTTAACTAGCTGGTCCCAAGTGGGAACTCATGTCGTCTGGATGGCGTCAACTCAAGAGATGTAGATATGGTAAAACTGAACATGGGCAATCAAAACGTCCCACAGAGAACAGATGGTGTCATAAAAACAATTCTTGCAGATCTGAAAGTGAACTTGTATTTTCTGCAATTTACACAGGAAAACACCAACCATGGCATCCAAAGTGTTGCCAATTATTCTTGGCTAGGACTCAATGAAATGAAACTTGTTGTCTGGATTTCTGTAAGGTTGGCTCTGACAGTTTTTTTCATTGATTATGATAAAAACAATTATTGTTTAGAGGAACAACAACAATGCTGCTGTTGCAAACCTGAACTGAGAAACAAGACAGAAGCAGATTTACAAGTTTAACTTTCGTCCTCTTTTAACTACACTGTAAACAAGCAGTGCACCAATGTCCCCCGTCAATGTAGGATTTGAGTAGTGAATGTTTTTAGTTTTCGAGATGAGTGTATTCCAGATTGGAATTGAATAGGGAATGGAACCTTAATGTTTTTGGTGCAATATATTCCAGTATGTGGAAGTTACACTGTGTATGAGAAAAGAGGCAGTTTTGTTTTTGCTTGTCTGAGGCGGTGCAGAATGACAGATCATGAAGAGCTAAGGGAGTAATTTGATCCATAACTAGTATCAGTGGCAGAGCCATGGTGTGGCCAATGGTGGCCCTGACCACCATAGATTTAATTTTTGGCCACCCCAATCATTTGAGGAAACTAGGGATGCACAATATTGGATTGTTGGCCGATATTCGATATGCCGATATATTAAAACTTATTTGGCTGATAACTGATACCAATATTTTTTATATACTTTCCTTTGTCAGAACATAGCTCTCTTATTTAGGCTTATTTGCTACAAAAATTGTGTAACAGCTGTAAGAGCTGGTGACATATATTCAGTAACAGCCATATACAGTACATAGCACTTTAACACTTTACATTTAATACAGATATAAGTTACATATTATTTTTTAGCATTAGTCACATGCCATGCTGTCTCATTTGTGGAGACTTGTTCTGGGTTCCTAGCTGCAGTGTGGGATCCTCTGCACTCTTGTGCATGAAGGACAGACTTTTTATGTTCAAAGTTTTTGTCTATCCATTGCACCATAAGACTAATCATGCTAACTTCCACACCACTGACATTTTGACTTCTTCCTCTCCGTCGTGATCAGATCAGGTCGTGACGTCATCATGTTGTGCTGGTGCTGCAGGCATCCTTGTCACTGGGTTGTCATACAAAAACAGTGTCTTTTATATCGGTGAGTTATTTTGATAGAATGTCCGATGTCCGATATTTAACTTTAACGCTAACATTGACCAATACTGATACCATGCAAATAATATCGTGCATCCCTAGAGAAAACTATACTTTTATACAACAATGTTCAGTCAGGTCATCTGGACAGTTTCTTTTAACCGTCCAGATGACCTGACTGAACATTGTTGAATTTTTACCTGGATTACTAAGCATGAAATTTGGTGTATACTTTTATACAATATAAAAACTTGGGAAAAAAAAAAAATATATATATATATATACATACAAGGCAGCACGGTGGCGCAACTGGTAGAGCTGCTGCCTCTCAGCGAGCAGGTCCCTGGTTCAAACCCCGGTCCAGGGGCCTTTCTGGGTGGAGTTTGCATGTTCTCTCCGTGCATGCGCGGGTTTTTTTCGGGAACTCCGGTTTCCTCCCACAGACCAAAAACATGCATGTTAGGCTGATTGGTAACTAAATTGTCCCTAGGTGTAAGTGAGAGAGTGAATGGTTGTTTGTCTCGTTTGTCTCTATGTGTCCCTGTGATGGACTTGCGACCCGTCCAGGGTGTACTCCGCCCCTCGCACAGTGATTGCTGGACATGGGCACCGGCGACCCCCGTGACCCAAAATGGAACAAGCGGGTAAAGATAATGGATGGATGTTGTTGGTCTGGTGAGCCAAACAGATCATCTTCCAATCACAGGCTCGCATTCTCTACCTCTGCGCCATTACTCCCATGGTGGCCATCTTGGTTTTGAATCTTTGATATTGACCTATTTTACACCTAGATGCAGCTACACAATGTAATGGAAGTTTGTACCTCATTAATTTTGTTTAGTTATTTAGTTCACAAGAAAAACATAGTCCCCTCTTCACTCTACGATGGGGAACAAAACAGGATTTCCTAATTAATTTACCTGTTGATTAACCATAGTTAAGTTCTGTCAACTTAAAGTCTTAAAGCCCCATCTAGATTACTCCTGGTATGTAGGGTTAGGGTATATATCTATACACCCAACATGCATGTTTTTGGCCTATGTGAAGAAACCGCGGTGAGCGGAGAAAATCCATCCATGCACAGGGAGAGCATGCAAAGTCTCCACAGAAAGGTCACAGCTAGGAAAGAACTATATTTTTGTTGATATTATTTTCTATGTCAACATCTTTCTCATAAGAATGCTGAAATACTCATGCCACACCACTAGGTGGCAATAACCTCCACACTAACACGTGAAAATACAAAGAAGAAACCCCTCCAGAGGACCAGACTTAACTTTGTTAGATTTTTCTACCTGGATTATTGAGCATGCATGAGGATACAAAAAAGAAGCATTCTTAGCTCTGCTAAAGATCCTCCAAAAACCCACAATTTTCTTGGATACTGTTTATTTTCCTCTGAGTTTTTTTGAAGTGACCTCATTAGCCATGGCATAAATACAAAAGCATGTAGTAAAAAGAGCAGGTCTTCCTGACGGCTAGGCTAATGGCTAGCCATATGAGGGCTTTCTTTTTGTTGATTTTCATGTTTATAAATTTTTTTCTCAGAAATTCTGTATTAGTTTGAAAGAATGTTTGCTAAACTTGAACCTCTTTACTTTTGCATGACAGTTTGTTTGGTTTGTCACTGTTTTCTCAGTCGAACTTTGTCTGCGTTAATATGTTGATGTTGCTGTGTGTGTCGACGATGCTGAAAGTCTCTTGAATGTATCAGTCTGCCGGGAACTGAT